TAGTCTCTTGAACTCGCACACAAAGCTGATAACAGCTTGATGCTCGAACCAATACTCGTTGGTGAGTATAGCGCTGAGAGATCGTAGTCCGTCAGCCACTTGTACTCCCGCGCCACTAGGCGGGCTCGCCTCTTCCATTGGAGGTCTCTATGCCTCCAATCCAACACGTACTTTGTACTGAGTCTCTTCGGTTCTTCTCCATTCGGTCCTTTCTTCAACTCTCCATTCTCATCCAGCTCCACCTCTTTGAGAACTTTCATCTCCAATAGTCTCTCGATTTCTGTTCTCTCCGCTTTCAAGTCCACCTTCTCCAAATCTTCATCTTCCAACTTTGGTGGCCCATCATCATACTCGTGAGACCAAGTAACCGTTAGGTCCTCTTCTGTCTCACACACCTTCTCGTTCCATTTACTCTGGAACTCTCGACTTTCTTCCAGAAACAGCTGTGTCTCATCGAGATCAACATACTCGTCTCCATGCTCTTCGGGATCCTCGCTCTTGGCGAATCTCCGAATGTGGTATTCCACTCGTGCCGCGCTTCCTCGTGCTTCGTCTCCAAGTCTCGGCACCTTTTCAACTCTTTCTTCGACCTCTCCAGTTCCTTCGTCTACTCTTGGTTCTTTCTTTGGTGACCCTTCTCCTTCTTCTTCTGCATTCCTCTTTGCAACTTCTCTTTGAAACTCTTCCAACGTCATTTCATCGGGCACCCATTCATCTTCTGCTTTTCTCTTTGTTCTCACCTCTCCTGGATCATCGTCATCGTCATCGCTCTCGTCGTCCATTGCTTCTGGCGTTGCTCCAGATAGCGACGAACTCTTGCTAGAAGAACTTGAGCTTCCTTGGCGGTCGCTTGACGGCGAAGGCTCGCTTCTCTTTTCTTCTTCTACTCTTTTGTCAGCTTCCACCGCCAATCTTGGCAGTCCTGGCCCATCGTCAATAGGCACAATTCTCTTCTTCTTAAACCTCAAAGCCTTCAGCTGATGATCCCATGGAGCTCCAACCGAAAGTTGCAAAAGCTCCGGCTGATATGCCTCAGCACATCTTCTCATTGTCCTCGCTTTAATCACTCCTCTACCTGTGCCAATCAAGTTCAGATTGCTCGCGTAGTCCTTTCCAAGAAAGACTCCTTTCTCCCAAGGTTCTCCTTTCTCCTTGGTCTTTGGCACTGCTTTTCCAAACACTGCTGACCCGAACGGGGCCAACTTCCCTTTGTACGTTCGGTCCACTGTCGCTTCAAACGCAGTTCTGCCATCTCTTCCAACATGAAACCTGTTGTGCAGCCATGCTGCATGTCTGTACGCCCAGCTATAAAGCGGGACATCAGATCCGATGGCCGTTCCACTTCGTTGCTCCACCGTTGCCAACAACGTCTTCGCAAGGTTCCTCACAGTTTGGATATACCTTTCCACAGGCAACCCTTGATGCTCATCAGGCGTGGCATCTTGCAACTCCGTCTTCAAACCTTGTCTTGTTCTTGCCACTTGAACTCCTCTCCTGATGGCAATCATCACTGGCTCGGTGTCCGTTCTAATCACCACTTCAGCGTAACCCAAAAGGGCTAACACTCTTACCACTTCACTCACTGCGTGGTTTATCACCGCATCTCCTCCTTTCGTTGGCACCGCAATAGCTATCAGGAACTTCGTGTCGTTGTCAACACCCGCAAGCTGAATAGCAAGCGGATCTCTCTCCTTTTCATCTCCTTGTGTCCCTGTGAACATAAAGTCCAAGCTAAACACGGGTCGCTGCGCTTTCTCCTTCGTCTCTTCAAAGTTGTCTTCTCTGCTCTTTGCTGCCTGGCATGCTTCACACCAGGGCGCTCTCGGCAAATGCGTTAACTCATGCGCTTCAATCTCTTCCGGGCTCGGCAAAGCAGGCAGAGCCTCTGGAATCGGTTCTCTCTCAAACTCCTTTCTGATATCCTCAGAGATTTGGGCTTGCGCTTTCACTTTGCTCAGCGCAACCTCTTTCTTCAATCTTTTCCACAAAATCTCTTTCGATCCATTCTTCGAGATATGCAGATACTTGCACGCCGCTTTCATCTCCTTCAACTCACTTTGGCGTGTCAACTTCATTGGTCCAATCACCATCACTTCTTCCTCATCTTCACCAATCACTGGAACTCCTCTCTTCGGTTCCTCTTCCTCACTTTCCTTTTTGTCTTTTGAACTTGGGGAGGTTCCTGTGACCTCCATTGGCACTCCTTCTTGTGCCAGTTCTCTTTCAAGCTCTTCCAAATTCGTGAGCAACCCATAGTCACTCGGTTCCTTCAATCCCTTTTCCAACAAGGTGACCATCACCTCAAACCTTGCTTGAGGACTCGCCCCAAGTTGCACTCTTTCGCGATCCTTCCAGATCTCCGTACACTCAAAGAAATCCATACTCTTCCAATCCACTTCATTCAACACTCTTTCTCCACTTCTTTTCATTTTTCCTAGCAAGGTTGTCCTGTAAGGAAAATAATCGCCTTCATCTCCTGCTCCCTCATAGAGTCTATTAGGGAACTGACCCGTTGGGTCAAACGTCTTCCCCATAAACCAATCAAACCTTGCAGGCGTGCCGTCATTTAGCACAAACCAACCATCTTCATCTTCTTTGCTCTTCAACTCATTCTTCAGTTCTCGCTCCAGCCTCACAGGCTGCACTGTCATCTCTTCTCCTTCAAGTCTCCGTATACACATCCTCGCCATTGAGGAATTCCTTTTGAAGTATATCGGTATCCGAACACTTCCTTTCTTCAACCACAATCTTCCATCCTCATTCACCGTACCCCAACCTAGCTTCCACATCTTTCCTACCGCAAACAAAGGTTGGGTGACATTGCCGCAAACAGCACTGTCAGTGATCTTCAACTTCTTTCCAGACTCCTTTGTGAAAACAAACGTCACATTCTGCCTCACAGGCAACGTTGGGATCACTTTCCCTTGCGCATCTTTCAGATGGTACTCAAAGTTCGAAGTTTCTCCGACTTCTTCCGCCCAATCCATAGGCAACACATGGCAGTCAGCTCCACTGTCGAGCACTACCTCACATGCATCCACTTCTCTTGCTGTTCTTCTCACTTCATTTCCTTCAGAAACCATTCTCACACTTCTTTCAACTTCTGTTTCCAAAAACCACCATCCTTGATACCACTCCATCAAACCATCAGTCGGTTCTTCCTCGATCTCTTCCACTTCATCGCTCGAAGAGATATCAAACTCCTCAACTCTTCTCAGCTCTCCTTGAACCAAACCTTCAAACTCTTGACACAATCTCACAAAGTTGAGCTCTTCATCTTCATCGTTCCACTCTTGTGTCATCTCAACTCTTCTTGCTTGGCGCGCTGCTTCAGCTGTGATCTGCCTCACTTGACCATTCTCATTCTTCGTAGGAGGGGCATTGCTAGAGGAACTCTTCTCGTGATCTCCTTGATGGGTTCCTTCCTCTTCTACCTGCCTCACTTTGCCTTTACCTCCTTTTCCTTTTCCTTGATTCTGCCAGCAATCAGCTGCTTTGTGTCCTGTCTTTCCGCATATGTGGCACTCTCCTATGAACTTTCCTTTCCCGTAGCCACCAGCGTCCACTGCTCGTGCATTTCTATAACCACCTTTTCCTTTTCCTTTGTTGTCGTATCCTTTTCCTTTTCCTTTTCCTTTGTTGTCGTATCCTTTTCCTTTTCCTTTTCCTTTGTTGTTGTACCCTTTGCCTCCTTTTCCTTTGTTGTCGTGACCTTTTCCTTTTCCTTTGTCTTTTCCTTTTCCTTTCACTCGATCAATATCCATTGGTTGTGGCCCAGAATAGGGCGTACTCTTCGTTGCGCTCTCCATGTTGAAAGACTGCAAAATGTTCTCCGCGTTCCACGATTGGGTACTCCTTTCATACTCCAGCAACTTTTCCTGATGTCTGCGTACTTCGTCGTAGGGGTCAATCCTATCAGGATATGTTTCCTTAACTCATTTGGCAAACCTTTGAGTACTGTTCCGATTTTCAGATTCTCATCGTAGGGTTTTCCTTCGGACAGTTTTTCGTATTCCGCAACCAGTTTTTCGTAGGTAAGCAGATAGTCTAAGATAGAAGTCCCCTTCGTCATCTGGGGAAAGCTCACTAGAGCTTGAGCCATTGCCAGCCCTCTTGTTCGGCTTGACGGCTCCAACTCTTCAAACAGTCTCCTCCAGACAGAATATCCATCTGGACTTCCTTCTGACTTCAATAACTTCAATGGCCTGTTCCTAAGATACGAGGCCAAAATCGCATACAGCTTTGTACTTCTCTCTCTTTCACCAACTGTATAATCTGCTGGATTTGGTGGTGCCAGCTCCACTTTCTTCAACTCTTCTGCATAGGTGGGATCAATGAAGCCCACAAACACTTTGAAACTGAAACTCCAATCTGGCCACTGTGAAACTTCCTCCTCCAGATTCTTTGGAGCGAACACATCCGGACTCTTCACCAGCTTAGCTGCAGAGTCGTAACTTCTGGTACTTCCTGTACCTGCAGCACTTGCCAAAGCTTGCGCTGCTGCCGACAGGTTCCCTATCAGGGCCTGAAGGGATCCTCCTGCAACTCCGTCTGGTGCAGGCATCGCCATTGGCGTATCACTCGGTGTATCTCCTCCTTGACCACCGTGACCAGGGGACACAGGCAAATCCGCGTCTCCAGCTGGACTCGGCGTGGCCATTCAACTTTCCCTTCTTTCACTTTCCGTGACACTGGGGCCCAAGGCTCTTTTCTCCTTGTATTGGGCTCTTCTTCAGCCGAAGGTCCTGGCCTTCAGCTCCGCTACCATAAAACGCTTTACGGGTACGTTCCGGACCCTTTCACTTCACACAGATATTCGCACTTCACTTTTCCTCGGGCGCACGGCTGTCTTGGGTGCGTCCCTTGAGCCTAAACACCACAGTGGAACATTTGTTCCATACTATACAAAATCATGTGGTAAACAGCTCAACTACAGGATTATAGGGCAACACACTCCTAAGCGAAATGTTTGTTACAAAGGCACTTTGCTTGCCAATGTGATGCACGGCTACTACCTAGGAGGAAAGCACCAGGTGCAAAAAGAAGAAGTTTTGGACCACCTGGCAAACTCGGTGGAGCTGGACAGCATTCTCGATGGAATTGCTTTCGATCGTGGATTGCAGCAGGAAGCTTGGGACGAGGAAGAGATCCGCAACGAGATTTCGGACTGGGCTACCAGCCGCACGACGCTGAACAGAGGTGCCCTGGTGACCAGGTCGGCATTATGATTGCGAGGAGTGCGTCTGTGTGCTTCAACCTACTACTGTGCTCAGCGTGTTTTGCCGTGCCCGAGGTGAAAAACAAATGCTGGTTTGGTCTCCTAGCAGGGCTGAGGAGAAACGACTTCTCCTGGACCATCAATGCGCTGGTTACGAATGAGTTCGTCAACAATGGGCTGACGGCGCCTTCTTGGGAAATGTTCGAGTCGTTCGTGGCTTTTGTTTTGCACAGCTAGGCTGGGGTAGCACAATCAGGACACATACCCCAAGCCCAGGACCCCGACGATGGCGATGCAGATGAAGAGGCAGCCCGCGATGCAGACGGGCAGCGTGCGGCAGTGGAAGGTGGCAGCAAGCCGGAGCCGCAGAACGCCAAGGAGTTCAATGCTCTACGTGAAGAGTATCGCAACAGTTGGGGCATGGCTGCAGATTTCCTGCTTGACAGAGATCTACAAAAGAGGCTCCGTGTGATCTACCTGACATTGGCTCCGCTCGAAAGAGAATACTACGATGATGTGAAGAAGCAGCAGAAGGGTCAAAAGGAGCTTGCACGGTGGGCTGCGCATCGTGCGGCAGGTGACTCAACTGTGGTCGCTGAGACCCTGCAGCTGCTGCACAACCCGGTGCTTTTCGAGCAGCTGTCCATGGCCAGCAGTGACGAAAACGACGCCTCACTTGAGGATCCCTGGGTCAAGGAGGAAGCGGCACTGTGCGACATGGTGTTCGACATGGTGACGGAGGTGGCTGCTGCACGAGTCTGGAGCCAAGCCATGTTCCGGGTGATGATGCCGCAGCTTTGTGCCGGGGTTCTACACGAAGATGCCGCCGTGGCCACCAGGCTGTGCAACTTCATGAACCGCCTCACAGAAGCCGCGCTAGAGGCTGAAAAGGTCGTGGGGAACCAGGCGCTCACAGCTTGTCTCAACGACATGGCCTGGAACCAGAGCCAGGCAGCCAGAGAGCTCATGAAGATTGGGAAGGACACTGCCAGTAGAGTCTTGTGTTAGATTGACCGACAATGCATGCCTCACCCGCCGAGAGGACTGCCAATGGACGCCCGCCGACAACACCCTCGTCGAGTTTGCCTTTCGGCTGTATGCCGGCCCGCACAGCACCAAGTTCATCCTCGAAGATCAGTTCAATCACCTGCAGCACCTCTCCCGGCTGCAAACGAAGGGGCGCAGCCACATGGCCAAGCCAAGCCAGTACTTCTACACCGCAACATCGCCAATACTGTCTACCGCACATCTTCCCGGTCCGAAGGTCGCCTTTGCATCCTTCCAGCAATGCCTTCAGGTTGCCGGTCGAAGGAGATCAGACATGGAGGCGAAACAGAAGCAGCTGGCGCTCTACAAGCCCGGACAGCACAAAGTGCCAGAGGCACTGGGGACCAAGAAGCAGATCTTAGGACTGACGCGAACGTGGAAGGCAGCCGGCTACCGCAGCAATCGTGTCGCCGCAGCCGCGACTATGCTGGTGTTGACCGGGCAGCAGAACAGCTGGCAGCACATTGCGCGCGCGTGGTCTGGCCTCGCGGCGAGAGTACTAGGTGTTCTTGTGTTTGGGCAGCGAGCAGGAATTGTCACAGTCCTGCTGCTCATGAGAAGCATACTAATGTGCTTACAGTCTACAACAGACGCGGTTGGCGGCCATGATTTCGACTTTAATTCGTTGTTTGTCTTTGTTTTACCGATTCGGTCAAGGCTGCCTATTCATGAAGGGCAAGATTTTCCACAACACCGAGCAGGACTCTTACGTCCTCTCCTTGGGTTTCTTCTCCTGGGGTGCCCAAGCAGCCAAGTTGGACAGGGTCACCAGGGCAGGCACGGTATCTCGCCTTGATTCGTTCATGTTTGCATAGACATCCTAGCCACGTACCCTTCCCGATGCCTTAAGTTCGTTTGCTACATGCAGGGGTCGTTAGTCGGACGTTCCCATGAGAAGCTGCGATGAGAGTGCTTTCCTGCAGTTGATTTGGCCGTGTCAAGGACTACTTCGTCTTCACCGCCGACACCAAGACAAGATGGGTATTCAACTTCAGCCTGGCAGAGAGCATTTGGCAGGCAGTGCCGTTTCGTGTGCTGCCGCCGTGCTGCAACCGGAACAGCAGCAAGGGGGCAACTCTTATGCGGACTGGGGCCAACGAAGACTTGTTGGCGCATGGTGTCAGGCACGGCATTTTCTTGACTGTGCCGGAGCTGAAGCAAATCTACCTGGCCAACAGATGGCCCTTTCCGGGCAGCCGGAAACCCGACTTCGTTCAGGACCTCATCCAGCGCTTGCATCCCGGCGCAAGCGAAGAGATGCGTGAGGCCATGACGGCAGGTCTCATGGGAGCGGCTGCGCGCAAGCGGAAGGTCAGAACAACTACTACTGAAGCTGTTGATCAGGACGAGTGCCCGGAAGAGCTCTTGGAAGTCATATCCGGACTGGATCCGGAGAACGCAGACGCGGCGAAAGGAGTGCGAAAAGCTTGCGTGGAACAGCTTCTGGAGCGACAGAAGCAGCGGCTCAAGGAAGAGCTCAAGCCAGGTCGATCTGATCCAGCGGCTACCGAACGGACTTCGCATGGTCAGGGAGGCTGGCAAAAACAGAACTTCACACCTCCAGAGCTGCGTGACTTGCTGCCGCCAACGACCAAGACATGCTGGATCAAGCGACAGATCGGTGCCAAGCAGTACGCTGGTTTCTATGACCGTGCCCAGTCCATACTAGTAGTAAGCAGTTTTGACAATACCTTGTTTTCCCTGATGTTCCTGGGCTTCCCAAACGAAACCCAATAATCAGTTCCCTAAGTCACCAATACAACGTTTCTGTTGAATCTGCCAGTTGGAATTATTGGTTTCGTTGCTGTTGCTGCTTGCACAATCCCAGATGGCCAGAACCTGCAGAAGTACAAAACGTGCAAATGGCAGGGTGTGAGGCAGAACATGGCGGAGCATGTGGCATGCTACACCGTCATAGACGCTCTCTGGAAGATGCACGCCGAAGTTTGCACCAACCCGCAGGAACTTGAGCTCAGGCTGGAATTTCAATTTTTCATGTCACGAGCAACAGTAGTTACGACAGGACCTAGGACCCCGTGACCCCACCTTAAGCCAGCCATCTGCCAAACCTTTGCCCAGCGAGCTTTGTTTCGAAGGCCGGATGAGGAAGAAGTGCGTCGGTGTGTCAGCCGTTTCACAGCTGAAGAAGCCAGTGCGAGCGCAAAGCGCCCCAGAACGGAGTGAACTCCGGAGATCGTTCGAGTGCTGCAAACGCAGTCAGCTCAGTCAGTGGCAACAGCTCGGATTGGATACCCGCTGTAAATGTGCATTGTTGGGATATGAAGCTTGGAGAGTCCCCTAGTGGGCCACAGGCCGGCCGTGGAATGAGCATAGGCTCAGCTTAAGGACGAGGGCTCAGGTACAGCGTCAACATGTACAGTTTACGTCAGGATAAGCACAATGTTTGTTTGCAGGCGGGGTGTCAGGCTAAGTAGTTTGTTTCGGAGTGTTTTGATGGAAGACAGATCGGGTTGTTGATAGACGTTGGTAATCAGGCAGCATATTTCGGGTTTGTTTCGGGTCATTGACAGGCTCCAGGCTCCTCAATTTGTAAAAGCCCGAGCGAATTGAGAAACAACCGCGTTCTAGCTACTCCTATATACTGATTACATTTCGCATTCCCCACTGGATACGTGAAGCAAACTTTGCAAAGCGGCCCCATACCCCGCTCACTAGCCTTGCTGATACCTCTCTGCCTCCCCCCCCCCCCCCCCAGCCCCCCCCCCCCCTAACATCTCCATGATTTGTGGGGCTCGACGACGCCGGCCAGTGCCTTTCGCCGTGCCACGAGGTTCATGGCCCGGGCATCGAGGACGGCGGCGCCCGCCAATGCGGCCTCAGTTGGACTCTTGCCAGACAAGGGGAACATTGCACAGTGGACAGTGGCAAACACGACTGTGACTTGGATGTTTGAAGCCTTGCCTGGCGGACGTCCTGTTCGACGTGGTGCCACTCGCCAAAGGCCACGAGCATTGCTTTGGCCTTCGTCGCATCCGTCAGGTGGGCATGCCAGGGGTAAAGCCCGAACTCAATCCCGTGCCGACGCGGCATCAAGTACGAGATGGTTTCGTCCCTGGAACCCAGGGACTGCTCGTACACAAAGATCTGGTCGCCCATCATCTTCGCATGCCCCAACAGGGGGCCGTGCAACAGGATGCCCTGGCAAAATGGCTGCATGCATGCCGCACGAAGGTCCTTGAATCCAGCCTTCGCCCCCAGCTGGAAGAATCTCAGCAGCCCGATGAGCAGCATGCGGCGGTCCTTGCCGAACAACTGACAATGGGGAACCGCAACTCTTGTCTTGGCTGAGAATACTGCACAATGCTAGCACTGCCTCATCAACGTCGCCGACCGCCTGCAGCTTGTCGATGACGTTCTGGAGGGACTCGGCGCACTTGCGGGCCTCGTTCATGTCATCTGACGTGAAGAATGGCCGGTCCTGCAGCTGAACCAACCAACGGCCAACTGCAACTTTGAACAAACGAGGCTGTCCTCCGAATTGAACCTGGACGTCACGGGGAACTGCAAGTTGGTCGGGTCGAATCCGACGAGGACCCAGATGAGATTCTCGGTGGGGTCAGCCCCGACTTCGATGCCCGGGAGCGTTCCGTTCGTGCTGTCCTCGCACATTGCCAGCTGTCGTGCCCAGGGTAGGCTGACCAGCTGACCCAGGGAGGTTTGCGACCTGCCCCGGAAGACCTGCAACATGTGGTCCAACACAGACACACACACACAGACAGACAGAGTAAACTGATACGCAAAGTCTCACACAGCTGGCCTCATTCAAAGTCCTCTGGCTCTGTGTCACGATGGCCTTGCTGTCACTGCTCTTCCCTTTCCTGCTGTCCTGCTCTGCAAGGTCAACACAGTGAACAGTGGACGGGGGACTGGTGGACAGTGAACTGGATGCCGCAGCTGGTGCCAAGGATTTGGCAGGAGAACTCGGGCACTCTAGCAGACCTAGCACCTCCTCCACCACACATCCTGGCTGTCTTGGCTCCTCTGGCTCACTGACAGATCCCTTGTCCACCTTGGGCTCCTCCTGCCCAGATTCCTCCTTGGGCTGCTTCTTCTCTCCCCCACCCACATTGGGCTGCTCCACAGTGGGCTGCTCCACTGCCCCACTCTCATCATGGGAGACCCCAGCTGCGGCAACTGCTGAATCAGATGCTTCGAGGTCCTGGTGCTTCGCCTTCGATTCCTGAGATGCATTGGCACACTTGCTGGCACGAAGTTTTGTGTGATCTAAACACTGGCGCTAGAAATTTGCATACAGGTGACATTCTTGTCAATGCTCCGCTTGACACTGGTCGCCCTCTGCTGCTCCTGCTTCTTCTTCATCTCCTTCATCTCCTGGAGCTGCTTCCTGGCCTTCATCACCTGAGTCTCCTGAGGGGCAGAAACCCTCGAAACCCTAAACCCTCAACCCCAAACTCGAGGCCAGCCTCCTTCCAGGCTTCGAACAACGGCCTCACCTGAGCACCAAGGACACTGGCTACTAGTAACTAGTAGCGATGCAAAACAAGAACTGGCAGAATTCGGAATGCTGGCGAGGCTCCTCGTAGCTCGGGCCTTGGCAATAGAGGACAGGCGACGGTGGACAGTGGACAGGGGGCGTCGCACTGGCGGAAGCCGAATCATCGGTCGACCCGGGCCCGGTCGCAGCGGACCTCTTCTTGCCCGAACTGGCCTTTGACTTGGGCTCGGCCCCTGCCACCTTGGGAGACTTCGTTGCCGTCTCCGATTCCATCGACCCGGAACTTGCTGGCGCCGACTCCGTCTTCTCTGTTGGCGTGGCGGGCTCTGCAGGCTCTTTCGGCTTGGCCGAGAGCTGAAGCACGAGCTTCGGGGCCTCCTCCTCCTCCGTGTCGGCTTCTGACGTCGGCGACAAAATGGATCGCCGAAGCTGCTGCCGTGCTTCTGTCACCGTCCCGTCATCAGGGACCCCCGCAGGCACCACGGCAGGCGTAGCGTCCTTCCACAAAACTCCAGAACCGTATATTGCATAAAGATTCGTGAAACAGTATCCGGGCTCAATGTATAAAATGCCCGAGAATATAATAAGTATTGGAGCCGGTTATCAAAAATGCTCCCGAATATATTCGCACAACTGCTGACGCGATCTTCTTTTCTTCTGAGCACTCGAAAGGGGCTGTTCGAAAAGGGTTTTCGCACCGACAACTTCGGTGCACAACACGTGTGGTAGAGTCTCCACAAAGCGGCTTGCGGTAAGAGATTCCGCTATGTCTCAGCACCCGATTGCCCCCATAACAAGTGCTGCCATGGAATGCATCCAGGGAACGATTCCGCACTGGCCAGGCCCAACGCTCTGGCCACGGTGTCGCCTTTACCCCTTGAAGGTCCGTCGGCGATGTTCGACTTCGACGGTACACGAGTGTACCACGCGTAGGAGATCATGTTGTCTTCAAGTCGACACAGCTCGCGAAGCATGCGATCCATAATGCAAGATTTGCTCACGCCCTTCACAAGGGCCAGACGTGCAGGCTCATTGTCTATCCAATAGACAACTCGCCTGCCCTCCACACGTTCCCTGAAAACAAGTTTTGCACAGAAAATCGCATATAACTCAACCTGGCAGATCAAGTGTTCGCTGGCCTCGTTCCGCCATGCGCTGCGGAGCTCAGGCGGGAGCTCGCCTTGCAACACACGAGTGAAGCCGTCGGCCGAATCAATCATCACGGCCCCTATGCCTGCGAAATCGCCTTCGAGAGATCCATCCGTGAAGATGTGAACGACCTCCTTCCGATCAGACACCTTCACCTCCCTGGGTCGAGCACTGCTAAGAAACTCCAAAGCCCGATCACAAAGCTTTGCGAACTCCTCGGGAGATGGAAAAGCTTCAGCATGGACTATCCTGTTCAAGTCAGTGCAGATGTGATTCAGCGACATGCCCACACAGGAGCCTGCAGCAAAACGCAAGAGTCCAAGCAGTACTTGGCCAAAATGCTTTGTCATCGACCCCTCGGCTTTGACCTTGCCGAACAACTCCACAAGCCGCTCAATTCTTCCTGGTTTGTTGGAAATCGAGAGCTTCCCCAAGTGAAGATGTTCCACGGACATTTTGAGTCCCAGCACGTTGCAAGATTCATCGAAGGGCAAACCTTTGGATCCGGTCCCTGTCTCGGCATATCGGATGCCAAGTAGTGTCAGCATGCGGCCGCACGCCTCATCAGTTGCCTGTGCCATGTCAGTGCGGGCCAACATCGGGTAGTCATCATAGAAATACGAGCACACCACGTTCAAGACTCTGGTGAACAAGAAGTGTATGGCACGACTTATACGGTTAAAGCTAAAAACGCTGGCAGCGGCACCAAACATTAAGGCGTTCGCCACATACCAGGTTGGCTTTCCTTTTTCGTCGAAAATGACTATAACCGAAAGGCACCTATCCCGCTCGCTTACACAAAATTGTTTGTAAGCCTTTGACAAGTCCAGGCATTTGACCTTCCAAGGGACACACACGCCCAAGTCCTTTTGCATCCTTGCAACAGCCAGGGCCATGGCCGTAACGTACGCACTATCCTGGAGCCTCAAGCGGATGGCCGTCCCATATGCATCGTTGAGGTGGGCCTCGTGGCCGTCATCAATGGGACGGTTCTTGTCGGACTGTTGAATGAGGAATCTCCTCACAGCCACCCAATCCTGGGTCCCGAGGTGGCTGGACACCGCTTCCTCAGACTCGAACGGTCCCGAGAGGAAACCTTCGGCCGTCTCTT